CAATCAAGGATTTGAACTTTTCTTTGACAGAGAGGATGGATGGGCAACAATAGTTGCTTTAAAAAAAAAAAAAAGAAAGAAACAGCAAATCATTGGGAGATCCTGTCCTCTCTAAAAAATGCTTCCTTGTTATGGCTTCTAAAGGTAGAGAAACCAAAGACTTTAGCAACTGAGTGAATGTAGACTTTTAGCAATCAAGACTACTTTGAGAGACTATCATTATTTCCCTCTAGTGTTTAACGTATGTGTGTATATGTATGTACTGCTTTCCAGGCGGAGCAGGCAGGTACCACTATGAACATCAGCGTTCCCCAGGTGCAGCTGATCAACCCAGAGAACCAAATTGTGGAGGCAAGTAGCAACCTCTGACAGTTGTCAACTGAAACCACTTTCTTTCCCATCTGTTTGCTTCCTTTCCTTCTTATTTCTAATTTGATGGTATTTCCCTCCCCCTCAGCCGGATGGGACCGTGAACTTGGACAGCGATGAGGGTGAAGAGCCTTCCCCTGAAGCATTGGTCCGCTATTTGTCAATGAGGAGGCACACAGTGGGTGTGGCTGACCCACGGTGAGTATCTGACCTCATCAATACCAGGGCAACGAATTCCCATCTGACCTTCAGTTCCTACTGTGGCACATTTTTCCTACTTCATTGTATCCCCTAGATGAGATCTACTTCAGTGGCCAAGACAAGTTTTCAGCCCATTCAGGGACTCTGGTAGATCAGACACAATTGACTAAAGAATTTCAAAGTGTCCCTAGTGGATGGTGGACTGTCATCTACCATCATGCTAATTAATCACAAAACTCTGGTGAACAGTATGATAACATCTTTGCTCACAAAGAGCGAGGTCTTCTGATTCCAAGTTACATAAAAGTACCCCTTAAAATTCATCTAAGTTTGACAATTTTTCGAGATGTTTTCCACATGTTCTAATGTAAGTCTCATCTAGGAATGATATATTTTATTTTATTATTTATTTATTTATTTATTATTTTTTTTCTCTAATGTAAGTCTCATCTAGGAATGATATATTTTATTTTATTATTTATTTATTTATTTATTTATTATTTTTTTTCTAAAGATGACCGGTAAGGGGATCTCAACCCTTGGCTTGGTGTTGTCAGCACCACGCTCAGCCAGTGAGCAAACCAGACATCCCTATATAGGATCCGAACCCGTGGCCTTGGTGTTATCAGCACCGCACTCTACCGAGTGAGCCACGGGCCGGCCTGGAATGATATATTTTATATATGTGGACAATTAAAAATTAAGTGAACAAGAATCTAAAAACATCAGTTTCCAAAAGTATTTTCCTATAACAGTCTTTCATGATATTCCTGGATACCCTCACACTGGGGAAACGAACTGAAGGCCAGCTCGCTCTGTTTTTGTTCTACAGTTGAAGTCTCTCAACATGAAAACAGTCTTACCTCTTTTCTGGGTATTTCGTTTGCTAAGTAGGGAAGAGAAGGTTGTGGCAAGAGTTCTCCTGAGAGTTCAACTAGGGGCAAAGCTGGTTTTCTTATAAATAGTTCTTTTCTCTGAGTGAATTTCCAAAAAAGACTCTCATGCCTGCTGATTTGTTGGCTTTGTGTTCCTTGTGTTTCGCCTATGCTCGAACAGGCAACACAGGAACATTCTGGCTCCACAGACTGTGTCAGCTGCAAAGGGGTGGAGCACTGAATGGCTCTGTTACTGGAAAGATCTCTTATTTTCTACTGCTGTAGCATGACATCCGTGTACATCCAGTACTTATGTTCCTATTAGCACTGACAAGAGTGACTGCATTCTTTCCCTGGTGAATCAGTTGCTACTTTAGGCAGCCATTGTTTTAGCGGAGGGCCCATGTTCTCCAGAAACTTGCTGTTCACCTCCAAGCTTTGAAAACCTGAACTGGACTGGTGCCAGTGTTTCCTCTTGGCTCAGAGCTGTTGGTTTTACATGAGTGGTCGATGAAGAATAGCAATCCTGAGTCCCAAATAGTAAGATGGCAGGGTCTCAAATTCTACACATTAGGCTTTTGTTTTACTTTGGAATCTTAGAGAGAAATACAAATTTTAGAGGAAAGTAAAAAAAAAAAAATAAAGTAAATTGTACTCAACATAGCAGTGCCATCATTTTTGGGATATGAGCACTTTGAAGCAAGAATATTGACCAAACTTCTCTGTCATCCTGTTTTCTATCAGCACGGAAGTTATGGAAGATCTGCAGAAGCTCCTACCTGGCTTTCCTGGTGTCAACCCTCAGGCTCCATTCCTGCAGGTGGCCCCTAATATGAACTACATGCACAACCTGTTGCCCATGCAAAATTTGCAGCCAACTGGGCAGCTTGAGTACAAGGTACCTGGATATGGGAGAGGGCTTGCCCCAAAAGAAACAAACTTGAGCTTCCTTTGAGAGACTTTGAGGGACCTTCCCCAGGGTTTAAGAGTTTCCTTATGGAAAAGGAAAGCAGCCTGGGTGAAAGGGAAGATTTCTCTAGTCTACATCATGAACAAAGGATCCCTTGAATTTCAGTAGATTAGAGTACTGCTGTTTTCTCTCCTACTTTCTCTCCCATCTCACCAATCTGTTCTTCACACTCTACTCCTGGCAGGAGCAGTCTCTGTTGCAGCCACCCACCTTACAGCTCCTGAATGGAATGGGCCCCCTTGGCCGGAGGGCATCAGATGGAGGAGCCAACATCCAATTGCATGCCCAGCAGCTGCTGAAGCGCCCACGGGGACCCTCCCCACTTGTCACCATGACACCAGTGAGTAGCAGCACAGAGCCCACCTTACTTTCTCAGAGGCTTTTAATAAAGAGATTGTGGGTGTAGCATTGGGAACCCAGAACCAACCTAAATGTCTCAATTTCTTCTTTCTCCAAACTTAAAATGCTCAATGTATTCCCATTTTCTTCAGGCTAGTAGACTTTTCCAGACTATTTTTGGCTAACTTACTTAACCACATAATTTCTACACTGAATACTGCTCCTGGAGAGCCTCTTCCTCAGAGGGTCACTTACAGGCACTCTAATTAAGTACAGCTGCATTCCTGCCAACTCTGAGGCAAGTAGCAGTAGCCTGACTCAGAGCCTTCACATGGATAACTTTTCCCTGCCAGAAGGCAGTTGAATTGAACATTGTTCTCTGGAATTAATTGCCTTTCAGACTGATTTTCAAAATTACCTTCTCACCAACTTTTTCTCCTTTAATCAACACCACCTCACATATTTGTTACAACGTGGATCACTTGATTATTTGGCTTTCACAAGCTCTAGCTTTGTCAGTTGGTATCTCTCAATCCCATCTTTTTCATACAATGGTCACATTCAAAGACTTTTTTCCTCCCCTGGGTTTTGTTTATTTCTGATTATTTTCCTGTTATAGGTCATTCATTCATTCATTCATTCATTCAATGTCAAAGTACCATAAGATTGGGTACTAACTGTATCGATAGCTTTGATGAAATATTTTAGGACCATGCTTCTCAAACTATCTGTAGTTGAGGACCTTTTTCCCCCCTTCAAAGATATTAAGTGTTGTATAATACAGTAAAAGTGAATCATTAAAGAAACTAAGTTTTAAAAATATACAAAATACAACGCTAATTTTTAAATTCAATTCAACAGACAAAACTACCCCATTAAATTTCTGTAAAAGTTTCTAAAAGCGAACTCTTAATTTCTGTATTTACCTTATTGTGGATTAGTAACAAAACAGTTTGTGGACTGGCATGAGTCCAGGGGCCATACTTTCAGTAACACTGTTGTCCGGAAAATGTTTAAATTCAATTCAACAGACAAAACTACCCCATTAAATTTCTGTAAAAGTTTCTAAAAGCGTACTCTTAATTTCTGTATTTACCTTATTGTGGATTAGTAACAAAACAGTTTGTGGACTGGCATGAGTCCAGGGGCCATACTTTCAGTAACACTGTTTTCCGGAAAATTAAAGAATTATATATCATAACCCTTGATATATAATAATGATGTATAAGAGCTTATAGTATGGGAAGACAAGATCAACATATGTGAAATATTTGGATGATAGTAAAAGACCTTATGTGATTAAGAGTAACATGGAGTATTAGGTGGCAGAGGGGTTCAGCAATGGGCAAGGTCAATACAGGTTATGAAGGAGGTGAGATGACTTACTCTGTTTACTGTAACTGGGTTTTTGTTTGTTTGTTTGTTTGTTTTTTCTTTTTGGTGGGGGGCAGGCGACTGGCCGGTACAGGAATCAAACTCTGCACTTTGGTGTTCAGCACCATGCCCTAACCAGCTGAGTTAACCAGCCAGCCCCACACTGTAACTGTTTTTGCCATGGTCACTAACACGTTTTTGTTGACAAGTCCAGTGGACATTGTTAATCTTTATCTTTTAGACATCCTTACTGTATTAGTCACCATTGACCATTTTTTTCCTTGAAACATTACTCTTTTTTTTTGCTTCTATCACACCACATTCTCTTTGTTTTCCTCTTGCCTTTCCTTTGCAGTCCTCTTTTCATGTTTCCTTTCTGCTTGTTTCTTGAAGTTGGTGAAACATGGTGTTTTATCTTAGGCCCTATTCCCATCTCACTTTCCATATTCTCTCTGATGAGCTTGTCTATTCCCATAATTTCAGTTACTCTCTGATTCTCCAGCCCAGAGTACTCTCTGAGTTCTGCACATCTTTATACATGTCTGCCTACTGGATAGGTTTAGTTGATTATCTCATAAGTACTCACTTTTAATTCAATATGCCCTAAAATGACCCCCTTGGATGACAGTGAATGTCCTGGTTATACAAGCTAGCAATGTGGGTTTTATCTTTAACTCTTCCCTCTCCCTTATTCCCTGTATCAAATCAGTTATCTAATGCCTGTGAATTAAATATCTTACTTCTCTCCATCACCAGTGCCCTTTATTTAACTCATGTCACTGTCATCTATTGCTTAGACTAACACAGTGGCCTCCTGACTAGCTTTCTTGCTTCCAGTCTTGTCTCCTGATCCTTGCCACCAGCCCTTTTCACACTGCTAGTTTACTCAAATATAAATCTTATAACATCATGCCCCTGCTTATGAAAGCCTTCAGTGATACGCCACTGCCCTTACTCAAAATAAACTTTTTAGTGTGGTGGTCGGGGCCACAGTGTTCCTCTCCTGCATCATCTACAGGTACTTGCTGCCTGATCCTATTTACTCCACCATTATAGAACTGAGGAAAGGATGTGGAAACTCTAGAAGCATTCAAACAATGGAATTATTCCAAAAGGTTTTTTGTTTTGTTTTGTAATTATCATCTGTGCTAGTCCATTTCTGTTGCTTATAACAGAATACCTGAAACAGGGTAATTTATAAGTAAATGAAATTTATTTCTTACAGTTTGGAGGCTGAGAAGTCCAAGGTCCAGAGAACACATCTGGTGAGGGCCTTCTTCTTGGTGGTGACTCTCTACAGGGTCCCATGGCACCCAGGGTGTCACATAGTGAGAATGGGCTGATCAAGAGAGCTAACCTTCTCACTTGCTCTTCTTTTAAAGCCATCATAACCATGCCCGTGACAACTGATTAAATCATCAACCCATTACTCCATGACTGCCTCAGTCCATTCACAAAGGCACAGTCCTTGGGATCCAATCACCTCTTAAAGGATCTGCCTTCTACCACCACATTGGAGGTTAAGTTCCAACATGGGGTTGGCGGGACGTTCAAACCACAGCATTATCCATTTTGAAAAATGCTCTTTTATAATAATTGAAGTATGGTTTTTTGCTCCAGTGCCCGAGGCATGGTGATTATGTGAACCACCAGGCTGTGAGGAGTGGTCAGGGATGCACAGCATCCGGTCCTCATGCAGATGAGAGTAGACCATGGTGACGCGTGCACTGTGGTGGTTCTTGTGTCACTTACATGTTTTGGTGGATAACAACTATTTGAAAGCATTGAATGCAACTATACAAGTATATGTTATGTACTAAAATGTACTTTTAAAAAAAGTTATTCTGCTTTCCTGGTGTTAAGACATCTTAACTCTGGAACTAACATTAATATGAAACAATAGGTCAAGTCCTAGCCATTACAGGTAAACAGTCTTTTACTATATTTTCAGGTTCTCAAATACCTACAGGTCTTCTCTTTTCTCTCAGCCTAGAAACCTGTGACCCATTTCCCTTCTTGTCTGACTAGCTCCTATGCCTCCTTCAGGTCTCAAGTTAAGTTTTACCTCCTCCAGGATGTTTTCCTTAATTCCCAAGTTCCCCCATTAGAGGACTTGGTCATGCTATTTTGTAACTGTTTACTTGTCTCTATCTTCCACTGGACTGTAAAATGAGGGCAAGGACCCTATCTGTAAATTCACATTTTACCTCGTAACATAGTAGGCATTCAGCTGTTTGTTGGATGAATAAATGAATGCATGAAATTGAATAAGAGGAAGAAATCCAAATTAATATTACCTAAGCAAGGTAAAAATGGAAAAGTAGGTGTATTAAAGTTCATTATAACCTAGGGGTCCTAGAAAAGTTTTGTAAATAAGAGAGTTAACAGAAAGTGCTGTCCCAAGTCCAGAATAAGAGACATTATAGAATAAGCTGCCACCTTGAACTTTTCCTTCCTGTCTCTCTGCAGGCAGTGCCAGCAGTTACCCCTGTGGACGAGGAGAGCTCAGATGGGGAGCCAGATCAGGAAGCTGTGCAGAGGTAATGTGACATCTGGCAGTGCTTGCAGAACGTCCTTGGGCAGGCTCCCCCTGCAACCAACGAAAGGTCACTTCTGCCCAAGGAGGTGGTACAGTGCAGCTTCAACATTTGTGTGGTCTCTTTGCTCAAGCCAGATGGCATGTTTCTCCCCACGTGGAAGTAACAGAAGACTACCCAGAAAATTTCATTTCTGTAAGCGCCATTGGAAGTCCCCTAAGTGACAGCAATAACCATAAGAACTTTTTCTCTCCTCCCTCCTTCCTTCCTTACCCCTTGCCTTCATATTGCAACTTTAATAGTATTCACAAGGCACAAAGCCTGCTCCTACCTGCCAAGAACTGTTTACTGAAAAGGAATTGGAGATTTGGGATGACAGTGATCCTAGCTAGTCTGGCCATGGACCTCTGGCGTGGACTCTTCCTTTCCAGGAGAATGAATACCTCTCGTACTGTTTGCCGTGTGCTTCCTCCACTCCCTTGTACCAACAAAGAGATATTGAAAAAAAGAATATGGGATTCGGGCCAGGGACAGATGCAGATATCCATTGTTTGCAGAACCTGTTGAGAGATGCCTAATTCACAGAGAATGGCAGTGACCATCAGGCATGCTGTACTGTATTAGCCCCGGTCCTCAGCTCCACGCATGCCCCCTTGTGGGAGTTGTCTTTCTCATTTTCTGGGGAGGGGGTTTCACCAGAAGCCAGCATGTATTTTCCCAGAAATACAGGTGTTCTTCAAGATTATATGTTTTTCCCTCGAGGGAAGTTGAAATAAAATGGTTTTCATGGGCTCTTGGGGAAACTTTGGATGTCTTTCTCAAATGGATATTAAACCATTAATGGCTTATTCTTGGCAAGTTTACATACCACTAATTACTCCACAGTCTGTTAACTGATTTTAGCTTAAATGGGCAAGGTAGTTAATGAGACAGACCATTTTTTAAGAACCCGACAGTTGCTGGCCAGTACTTCCTTTCTTACCCCTAGTAGCTCTGTATGATAGCTGCTTTTTGAAAAGAAGCCATTCCTGTATGGAAAGAAAACTGTGGCAAACAGGGATATTTGCAGGTAGTGCAGCTCCTTCTACAGCTTAGCCAATAAAATGAAAATTTTTCTCTTGATGCTGCTGCTTCCTAGTTAGCTGATAACATGGTATATAAGGTTGCATATGGGCCCTACTGGTATCATGAAGAAATGAGAAATTAGGAAATTTACTGCCTTCCTACCTTAAAAGAGAAAGCAAATGTTTTATGTTATCTTCTTTGTCTTAGCATTTAATTCCTCCAGCTCTATCTTCTTTCTTCTTTAGATCAACATTTAAAAGGTACAGTCAGTTTTGATATAATGAAAAGAAATCATTATATCACCTTCCTTGATTCATGCCCAAGAAGAGCAGCAGTGTTGGAGGAAGTCATCACCAGATGCAGGGTGACTGATCTCTTACTGATGGTATTGACTAAGTGGAGGGTCTGAAAGATCTTCAGAATAGAAGTCATCCACTTAAGAGAAGGCTTCAGCTTTTGAAACTCTTCTGTTTTTCTGTCTTGCTTTGCCTTTTTTCCCTAAAAACATTTCTAAACATTTCATGTGGTTTTATTTCTTCATTCTCTACAGAATGTTGGTTCCCTGGGGACAATACCAGTTTTTCTTTTCTGATGATTGGGTTACAGTCATGGGGCCTGAAGGAAGAGGTGGTTTTGGAACTCACCCATCTGCAAATGGAAGGATCTATTTTCTGGGACTTGTAGTGAGGACAGATTCAAAACCTGAGGCCTGTGAGATCAAGAGGCATATACGGAGTCCTTCTGAATATCTCCGTTTGCTCATCTCTAGGAATAGTCTTTAGGGCTTATTTCCTCTGACTTGTATTTTGGAAATTTGGAGGGAAAAGAGGAATAAAATTAACATGTAGAAAATAAATTCTTCTGTTGAATGTAATGCAGTAGGAAAATTGATACTCTTATCCTTGTGAGCTAGATCTGCTTTCTCTCTTCTCTTCAATGGCTACTCTTAGGTTCAAAATTCAGCCACTTCTATGTTATGCCAACTTGTTGGCAAGTTAGATGTGTTTCACTTTCATCCAATCAAGGATCTGTTTGCTATAGAGCACTTTTTGAGCTCTGGCACTATTTCACTGAGTACTTTGGATTAACTTCTAATGCTTCTTGCAGAGGGATATTCCTGTCTGTCTTTTTTACTATGAAATGTGCTCCTGCTTGTTGCAGGTACTTGGCAAATAGGTCCAAAAGACATACACTGGCAATGACCAACCCTACAGCTGAGATCCCACCGGACCTACAACGGCAGCTAGGACAGCAGTCTTTCCGTTCCCGGGTCTGGCCTCCTCACCTGGTACCTGATCAGCATCGGTGAGTAGCCACATGAGCTGTCTGAGCTCCTTGAGGCTCATCGGACAGGCACCCTTCAGACTAGTCTCACAGTGATGGTGACTAGCATCAAAGCTTTGAATAGGAGCCAGCTGTCATCCTGAACTCATCTTCTCAGCTCCTCGCACTAGGCAATGCACAAGGAAAAGGTTTGCTCCTGGGCCCTGAAGCGATACAAGATTCTTCTTTCCCATTACCTTGCAGACGTGTTTATTGTCTACAGTTGATTGCCATCATTCTAAATGTTGACTCATAGATGAAATTGAACTTGAGAACTGCAAGGAAGTGAAGCTCTCAGAAGGCCAACTGGAAATAGGAGGATTTGTAGCAATATCAATAGACATTTTCTTTACTAATTCATCATCTTCAGAAGAATGAGCATATCATGTCATGTAACCATTGGACAATGAGCTTGGATGTGGAAGAAGATACATTCCCTTGTGAGTGGTAGAACTGAGATGCTGCATCCTCTTGAGTGATGTGCTTGAGAAGTCATTCTTTGAATATTCTGAGGGCGAAATCTTTTGCTAGGTCTCTGTTATATTTATAATTCATTTTCTTGAAAAAATAAGTTTAACCTTTCTGACCAAGAAAACTTCATTGAGTCCAATTAAGCCTGGAAGCAGGGGGAATGACTCTTTGCTAGATTAGGAAGATCTTCTGTGAATATCTTGATGATTAAAATCTTAGCTATGTCCATACTGAAGCTATCCCCAAGTTCATGTGCCACATTTTCAAAGCCACCACCTATTGTCAGAGTTTATTTTATTTCAGTCTTTTTGGGAGCACAGTGAAAAGCAGTCTTACTTGAGAAGGTTGAAAAAGAGTCAGATTCCAAGGAAATTAGGTTTATATGTGTTGTTACGAAATCCTGCAACCAGTTCACACTGGCAAGCTTGATGTGATGTTTTTATTGTGGCTAGTTACCCACTGGGCATTAATGTAATCAGCAGAGGCAGGTGAACTCTGAGCAGACTGAGAAATAATGAGTGCCACGTTGGAACTCTGAAAGAAGATAAACTTTTATAAATGACTGTGAATGACTTAGTAAAAATGGTCTATTAGGAGTAGCAAGAATGAAGATTCTCAAATAAACTGGACGCACCTGTTTATCAATCTACTCAGAGCCTGAGCTTCTGAAAAAGTCATGAAATACCTGGACCTGGGATTATTGCTCTAATGGGAGAGAATGGATTTTGTGCAGAAAGAATGTCTTGTCTGCTTGAAGAACACAGTTTTCTGAGTGAATCAGAAATGCGTGCATTATCAGAAAATACTGAAAGTGTAGGAGTCAAATTTTAGGAGAGAATGCTTTACTTGAAAAACCTGAAGTGGAAATAGAAATGAGAAGTTTTGAGGAAATGGTCCTGAAAGCAGCTTTGATGATCTCTGTTTCTGGATTATGTCCCCCCAAATCATTTATCTTTTGTGTTACTGAAACAAATATATGTTTGTGCTCATTTCATTAACTCACTACCATGTCAAGCTCAGGTAGAGTCTGAAATAGAAGTCATCATTAGGAAAGAGAGGGTCAAGGGCTTTCACCTGCTGCTAGAACTCTCTTGACACCTCTGCTGTTACTGAAACAAATATATGTTTGTGCTCATTTCATTAACTCACTACCATGTCAAGCTCAGAGTCTGAAATAGAAGTCATCATTAGGAAAGAGAGGGTCAAGGGCTTTCACCTGCTGCTAGAACTCTCTTGACACCTCTGCACAGTCATCAGATTTCTCCTAGTCTCCCCTCTTGTCCTCCTCCCACCCCTCACCACCTGCATTGTATTTGAACTTGCTTGTTAACCTTCCTTAGCTATGGGTCTGCTTCAGCCCAAAATGAGTAATTGGCAAGGGTGGCACATCATTTCGCCCATAGTCAAGTGTAATGTCATCTTTGCCCTGGACACGAATTCCTGATCCTTTCCATCATCTATTGGAATGCTGCCTGGGCAGCCTTTTATCTGTTTACCTCAACCTATAAACATCTCTTTCTGATTAGGTAACAAGTATAGGTGTTAGCTTCTAACCCCGATGCTGTCTTAGGCATTCCTTATCAAAAGCTTGTTCTTTCTTTTTGTAAGATATTGGCTGTGTTCTGATTGAGCAGTGGGGTCTTTGAGGTAATCCACATGATTCCTCTTTCATTAGTATGTTGGCCAGGTGCTGCTGCTCTGAGAAGTTAATTTTCACAGTAGGTAACCTTATTTGTGTTAAGCAGGTACATGCAGAATCCTGAGGCCCCCATTCCTTAAGAATGTGCTGTCTCCATCCCGGGATCAGAAGTCCCATTTTATCCCACCCCAACCTCCACCCTCCACTTTGTAGCACAGAACCTATGAGTTCCAGGTCAGACCTTTGACCACAAAGCTGACTGTGGTTTCCCTCTGGTCATACAGAGATTACTAGTCAGGGAAAACTTTAGGTCAAATTGTTGAATTTTAGATTTCTAAAGGCACTAGATAGAGACATGATTATAAAAACAAGAGCTTATGTTCAGCCTGGCCTGGAAGATATTGAGGAGCTTTTCTGTATGGCCTAGTATATTTATAAGAACTGGACGCATTTGACCCCAGGACCTCACCAAGCTTGGAAAGTAAGCCAACTGAAGGTAAGTAGAAATGAAGATGTGCACCTTCCCTGCAAAGGAAAGCAGGCTAGGGAAATGACCAGCCTCTGCAAATGGAAGTGGCGTAATATGCAGGGCTACACATGCAGCCAGCCGTCTCTGTGTCCATCTGGAATAGCAGTCCCTATGTAATTTGGTGAAAACCCCTGAGTCCTAGCCCCTAACCTTCTCTTCCCATGTATTCAGCTCTACCTACAAGGACTCCAACACCCTGCACCTCCCTACGGAGCGTTTCTCCCCTGTGCGCCGGTTCTCAGATGGGGCTGCAAGCATCCAGGCCTTCAAAGCTCACCTGGAAAAAATGGGCAACAACAGCAGCATCAAACAGTTGCAGCAGGTAATGGAAGAGACAGCAGGCATCTGTGGAGAAGCATGGGTAACACAGGCCAGTACTGCAGGAGGACTGGGGCAGTAAACTTGCTACCCACTTTGTGTTGGCAGCCTGCAGTTTTATAGGTTACAGAAGTGTAGCTTTCTAATGCTCTTTCCTTCTTGTTATGTACAGCTCTCCCCAGGATCAAACTTGCTTCCCTTATGAAGGGACTAAATTTTTCTCCTGTACTTGTAGTTCACTGGAAAGGAATTTGGGGGCTTGGGTTTCAGTGGGAAGCAGCCCCGGCATTCCTTTCGTGATTTAGGGTGCTGGGTCTTGTTGGATCCTGCTCTACATTGTTACCACCTGGCCTACTCTCCAGTTGGTACGGAATGGTGCTCCCAGAGGAAGGAAACATACTTGTACTTCGGGCTTTTATAAGAGCCAATTTCCTTTCTGCCTGTCTGATGATCAAGCTTCAAGTGGCATGTGCTTCGTGTACACGTTTCACACTGGACACTTTCCCTCATACACAGGCCATCCTTGGTGTTTTCTGTTCGTTTATACAGAACAGACTGTGGATACATTTAGTACACAGAGACCTATATAATGGGTTAACTGCTCATCAAGGACACTGTTCTTCTTGTGGCTCGCTCTGCCCATGAGACCTTGGGGCAGATCTGCATCTGCTGAGATCACTGCATGGGTGGGCCTGGCTGCATCCCATCTGCATTAACTGCTTTCCCTTCAGGAGTGTGAGCAGCTGCAGAAGATGTACGGGGGGCAGATTGATGAAAGAACCCTGGAGAAGACCCAGCAGCAGCATATGTTGTACCAGCAGGAGCAGCACCATCAAATTCTCCAGCAACAAATTCAAGTAGGCCTTCACTCTTTGCTTTCTCCAACTTGTTTGGAGTTTGTCTTCAGGCTGATTTGCCTATGCATTTTGGAAGAGATCACTCAGGGCAAAGTGCAGTTATGTTTATAGTTGACATTCTTGAGCTAAGGTAATCAGACCTTTAATGAACAACAGAAGCATAAATCTGAGTCACAGATAGTTCTCTGTTTCTTCCATTTCCGAGAATAGCTCTGGTTAGTTTTCAAGCTCATGGTTATGTTTTTCCTTTCCCCATGTATATTTTAGGACTCTATTTGTCCTCCTCAGCCTTCTCCACCTCTTCAGGCTGCATGTGAAAATCAGCCAGCCCTCCTCACCCACCAGCTCCAGAGGTAAGGAATCTTCTTACGTTATGCTTAAGCCATCGTCTCTGTAGCCTGGTGTCCTTGGCCAGACTCATATGAGAGATGCTGACTGACTTTAGCATTCATCTTGAAAGAATCTATTTGAAAAGCAGAGAAACCAATTTAAATTTTAGGTGCCTTCCTAAAGTCTTGACTTCCCTGTTCCACTTCATTTTCTTAGCCTCATGAACAAAGTAATCTGATATCTAATAACAGGAGGCCAGACACACACCCACAGTGACCTTTGCCTCTGTGGCTGGGAAGTCTGATCCAACAAGACGTGGATGGGTTTAGGTAGACTGTGGTGGACGCCTTACGTATGTTTTTTGGCATGGAAACTTATCAGAACTAAAACAATCATTTCTACTTGTGTGTATTGTGTAGCTGAATCTTAGCTCAAGATTGTACTGTTAACTCAGGAAGTTTCTTTATCTCTTTTGTTGGTTTTAAGGTTAAGGATTCAGCCTTCAAGCCCACCCCCCAACCATCCCAACAACCATCTCTTCAGGCAACCCAGTAACAGTCCTCCCCCCATGAACAGTGCCATGATCCAGTCTCACGGTGAGTGGAGAGGTTGACACTGAACCATTATGTGCCACATGGAAAAAATGACCATCTTAGTCTTGAGCGCCATGATGAACCATTTGAAAGGCAGAATAACATAGTATTTAGGGGTGTGAGCTCTGGAGCCAGACTGTCTTGGTTTGAATCGTGGTTCCACCAATTTCTTAGCTGTGAAACTTTAGGTAAGTTCTTAACTTCTGTGTACCTCAGGTTCCTCAAATGTAAAATGAGGATAATAATAGTATTTAATGAATAAATACATGTAATGCACTTGGAACAGTTTCTGGCACAAAATAGTTCTCAATAAAGGTTAACTATTATAAATATTTTTGATAAAAACTTTTCCAACCCTACCAAATAAAAACCTGCTACCAGAACCTTCCTTATTGTCATGCCTCCATCTGGTTATCTACCGTGCTTGTGGGACCCTCTCTTGTGGGTATTTAGATGAAGGTGAAGATGAATATATCCTGATTGCTACGGTCCCTTGGCAGTCTCCCTAGGCATTCTTGAGAAGAGTCTGAATTGGCCGCAAACCATTCCTACTCAAAGTGGAGTCCCCTACCCAACAACATTGGCAGGAAAAGTAGAATCTCGGGTCCCATCCCAGGCCTTCTGAATCGGAATCTGCATCTTAACTTGGTCCCCAGGGCATTTGTATACACATTAAAGTTTGAGAAGTACAGACTAGATCCAAGCTACTGAAAGTATAATCCATGGCCCAGCTTTTAAGGGATCTTATCAGAAACACAAATTCTTGGGGACCTACCCCGACCTACTAAATCAGAATTCTGTAGGTAGAGCCCGGGAATCTGGTGTTTAACAAGTTCTCTAGACTTGTCTAGTGCACGCTGAAGTTTGAGAAGCACTGCTCTGGATGGTGTCTGGTTCGAGTGTCCTCAGGTTCCCATTACTTCCAGCTGGCAGGTAACCTGGGCACTCGGTCACTCTGATGTTCCTTTCTCTCCAGGTGCTGCATCTCCTTCCCAGTTTCAAGGTTTACCCTCTTGCAGTGCAATCTTCCAGCAGCAGCCTGAGAACTGTTCCTCTCCTCCCAGTGTGGCACTAACCTGCTTGGGCATGCCACAGCCTCCCCAGTCACAGCAAGTGACCATCCAAGTACAAGAGCCTGTTGACATGCTCAACAACATGCCAGGGGCAGCTGCAGGCTCCACCGGGCGGGGCATCTCCCTCAGCCCCAGTGCCAGTCAGATTCAGATGCAGCATCGTACTAACCTGATGACCACCTTCAGCTATGGGCACCGACCCTTGTCCAAGCAGCTGAGTGCTGACAGTGCAGAGGCCCACAGGTAAGGCTCCCTACCATCACCTAGCCCATCCTTCCAAGTGGTTCAGGTGGGAGGAAACCCCTGAGCAGAGTGAGAGAGCAGGAGGGGAGGAGAATGGGTCTGACTAGGCTGCGCTCTTGTTTTGCCCTTTCTAAAATCAGGGCAGTGGGTTTAGGATGAACTTATAACCTATTTATTGACCCAGGATTAGAATGCTAAGGAGACAGAGGAGGAAAATGGCAAAGCTACCTTATGATTTGCTTGCAAAGAAGGAAACGGCCTTTTAGAGGAGTGTGTAAAAATGCCAGTTCCTCTTGTCTATTCTTTTAGGAGTCTTTCCCTCTCTGTCACTCTTCTAAGAGCTTGGTGCCTCTTAATAGCTCAAATGATCTTTTGAGATAGGCCAAGTTGCTGTGTTCAAAGCAGAGCTAGATCTATTACACATACAGTGCCCTACGTCCCTTGGAAGTTATTGGATAAGTGAATAGGGGATAAACAGAGATGATGTGCACATCCCTCTCTTACCCAGTCTCTGTACCATTGGGTGCTCCCTACTGAGGAAGAGTAGTACTTGTTACATGGATGCCTGGTACTCACTCCCTTTTGTGTCTGCAGCTTGAACGTGAATCGCTTCTCCCCTGCTAACTACGACCAGGCGCATTTACACCCCCATCTGTTTTCGGACCAGTCCCGGGGTTCCCCCAGCAGCTACAGCCCTTCAACAGGAGTGGGGTTCCCTCCAACCCAAGCCCTGAAAGTCCCTCCACTTGACCAATTCCCCACCTTCCCTCCCAGTGCACATCAGCAGCCGCCACACTATACCACATCGGCACTACAGCAGGCCCTGCTGTCCCCCACGCCGCCAGACTATACAAGGCACCAGCAGGTACCCCACATCCTTCAAGGACTGCTCTCTCCCCGGCATTCGCTCACCGGCCACTCAGACATCCGGCTGCCCCCAGCAGAGTTTGCACAGCTCATTAAAAGGCAGCAGCAGCAACGACAGCAGCAGCAGCAGCAGCAAGAGTACCAAGAATTGTTCAGGCACATGAACCAAGGGGATACTGGCAGTCTGTCTCCCAGTCTTGGGGGACAGAGTATGACAGAGCGCCAGTCTTTATCTTATCAAAATGCTGACTCATATCACCACCACCACAGCAGCCCCCAGCATCTTCTCCAAATCAGGGCTCAAGAATGTATCTCACAGGTTTCCTCACCCACCCCGACCCACGGTTATGCTCATCAGCCGGCACCAATGCATCCGGAGAGCATGGAAGAGGACTGCTCATGTGAGGGGGCCAAGGACGGCTTCCCAGACACTAAGAGCTCCAGTACGTTGACCAAAGGTTGCCATGACAGCCCCCTGCTCTTGAGTGCCAGTGGACCTCGAGACCCTGAATCTTTACTAGGAACTGTGAGTCATGCCCAGGAATTGGGGATACATCCTTATGGACACCAGCCAACTGCTGCATTCAGTAGAAATAAGGTGCCCAGCCGAGGTAAGTCTCCCCAAAGTAAAAGTCCTGGGCCAGTCTGCCCTAATTCAATCGACTCAGTAATGTTACCTTTTTTCAGATAGTACTCTGTGTTCCTAAGAAAAAAAGAATTCCTGAGAAGACCTTCATGACCTTTTTGGGGGAGAAGCATGTAGGAAGTGGGTATTGCTGGGTAAGGGGTCTGTTTTCAAAAAGATAGAGACAATTGACAGTGCAGTCAATAAGATATATTATCATTTCCCCTATTCATACCATGGTTTCCTGGAATCCAGAAATTCTTGACAGTCATCAAAATAGCTAACTTTAACTTCTGCAATAGAAAAATCAGCCATACTAAGGAAATATGATTTAGGGTAAATAGTGTTAGACCTAGAGTCAAAACACCTTAATTCTGGTCTTACCTCTATCATGAATATGATAACCTTGTCTGATTCTTATTTTCCTCATCTGTGAAAAAGGAACCGGAGGAATAATAGTCCTTTGTAGAGTATTTGTGAAGATTAAAACATGTATATATATGTTTGCATTTATACATAATGTTTGCATGAGAAAGAGAGAGAGAAGCACTTGATAAATTGAAATGTATGATATAAAGGTATAACTATGAGGTGTTACTACTGTGGTCATTTCATTAATGAGCTGAGTACAGAATATTATAGAATCATAATGGATCCCTTGTCATTTCATTTAATATCACTTTATAATTAATGGGGACACTCATTTGTATTCTGAAGGAGATTAGGACTACCATCAATAAGTTATACTCAGAAAATGTAATTCATTAGCATCATAGCATTTAACCTAGATAACACCAGGAATGATATCCATCCCATCATTATAGATCTTGCAGTTTATCACTCTTTGGCACTCTGTTGCTATCCAAGGGAATAAAAATGAATTTATCCATAAACCATACAGCCCTGAAACTAAGCATATCTTCTGCTTCCCTCCCTGGAGCTACCTGCCTCTCCTGTCCTGTCCTTTAAAGTCAATACAGAAAACTCAGCTGCAGGGGGAATTAGATCCTGAAGCACAGAGCTGGATAGAAGACCTTGCTCTGAAAGCAATGTACGTGAAAAAGACTTGATGATCTCAGATCTTCCTCATCATGCACCAATAGGAGGGGAAATGTGATTTCAGAAAATGCTGGTTAAATCCTGAGCTTTTGAACAGATGGGTGTCATCTAGCTTAGAGGTGTACCCTAGCCAGATGCTTTGTGTTCTCCTGTGGCTGCTATGTTTTTAACCAAAAAAAAAAAAAAAAACAGGACCCAGGATGGTGGGAGCTTTCAGAACCAGGTCATATGTGGAATGGCTGACAAACCTGGGGTGGTTAGGGTTGGGAGGGAAAAACTAAGGAGAAACATTGTACCTGTCAGATGGAAGAAGGGATTAGATTTTTCTGAGTTCATATTATGGGGCAGAACCAAGATCAGGATAGAAGTTGCAGCAAATTTCAGCTCCCTATGGAAGACCTTTATGAGAGCTTTATGGAATAGGCTGCCTCAGCAGCTTGGGAGCTTCCTGTTGCTGGGAGCCTTCTACCAGAGGGGGGATGACGGTATCAGGGATGCGATGCCATGGGAAAAAATCCTGTGTGAGTGGAAGCTTCCAGCAGATTAGCATACTATAGTTGGCATAAAAAGGACAATAACTGACATTTCTAATGTGCTTTCCCTGTGCCAGACACCAAATGCTGTTCATATATAAATTTGTTTAATCCTCACAACAGCCCTATATGATAGTAACTCTTATTATCCCCATTTTACCAGTGAGACAATTGAGGCACAGAGATGAAAATCAGGAGCTAGCGAGTGGTGGCAGAACCTGAGAGTTGCTCAGTTCACTCCAGCAGATTCTTTTTTTTTTGACTGGTAAGGGGATCGCAACCCTCAGCACGGTGTGGTCTGTACCACGCTCAGCCAGTGAGTGCACCGGCCATCCCTATATAGGATCCGAACCCGCAGCCTTGGCGCTACCAGCGCTGCACTCTCCCATCAGCAGATTCTTTTTTTTTTGACTGGTAAGGGGATCGCAACCCTCAGCACGGTGTGGTCTGTACCACGCTCAGCCAGTGAGTGCACCGGCCATCCCTATATAGGATCCAAACCCGCGGCCTTGGCGCTACCAGCGCTGCACTCTCCCGAGTGAGCCATGGGGCCGGCCCCACTCCCGCAGATTCTTAACGAGCACGTCCTGGGTGTGCAAGGGGCCAAGGGAGGAGCCACGGCTGCGGCAGATGGTGCTTTCCTTCCACCCTCCCTCAACCCTGGGCTGCCCTCTATTCAGATACCTTCTGAAATGTTTTTCTTCAAAAACCATTTTCTCTAATTTCTCCTCACTGTCCCTCCTGTTGACTACTACATACAGAAAGGCTAGAGAGCTTATGTTCACCATCGGCCCCCAGTTGTGCAAGGAATCCTCCTTTGGCAGGTGTGCCCCTCTGTTTAGAATGTGGTGGTGCAGTGCTGTGGAAGCACCAGCGTGGGGAGAGATTTGTTTTAAGTCCAAGGGATAGGGTAGGTGTCTGGCAGTAAGTAGGGTTTGGGTCTTGATGGATGAGGAAGATTTTGTCATTTGGATTTCAGGGAGAGGCATGAGGAAAGAACAGTGGGTGAAAACGTGTCAGGGAGGTTTTAAGGGACAGCAAGCAGGTTTGGTTGCTTTGAAGTGTAGTGTAGGTGAAGGAATTAGTAGAAGCCAAGGGCAGAGCTTTTCTAAAATACACAGTCTTCTCCAGATCTGGCTGCAGTGTGCCACAAGAAAAGTGGCACACTGCTCAGTTCTCCTGGCGGTTTCAACTCAGTTCTTCGTCGTGTCAGTTGTTCTAAGTCTAAGCTTGTCACTTCAGGTCAATACTTTGCAGTTCTGGTCCTACCTCTTCCTCTAGCTGTACTTGCATCACTCTGCTCCTCCTGCTTCCTTCTCCCTACATTCTTGCATCCACCACCATCACTGCTATCACCCCCTACAAACTTCTCTTGTGGTTTCTAGAAGAGTAAGGCCATAGGTATATCCCTAAAGGTTTTGGTTCAAAACTACCCTGTCCTTTTAGCCTTATTATCAGTTTTGCTGGAGTCTTCCCCCCAGAGTCCCCTTTTTTCATTCATCTTTTCCTTGTGACCTTTGATACGAACTTTTCTAGAAGCGGTAGTCTTAGTCCCTGCCTTGCTGACATTGCATTGTAGAGATTAGTCTTCCTTCTTTCTGCCTGGTTTACTCTAAACTTTACTCTTTAATTTAGCCACAGAGTATTCCCTTTCTTGCTTGAATGCTGTTCCCCTACCTCTTTCTAGCATCTATTCCTATTTTGTGCCTTTGGGATCCACGTATACAATTATCTTTAATGAATAAAATTACATATTTATTATTATGTGAACTTAGAATCCAGTGTAGTGAAATAATGCAGTAGAGACACTAATGGCCTAGGGAAGCACAATGCTTCTTCTCAGCGCTTAAAAATCCCTTCAGGGATGTACGTCTGTGTGTTTAAAATGATTGCTTATCTTGAGGAGTCTCCATTGTTCTTACCTTAAACAACATGAGTTTACTCTGTGACCATGGGTCTATTGTATAACCTCTCTTAACGTTTCTTTATCTGTGTAATGAGGGGTGTTAAGCTAAATGCCCCTCTAAGAGAAGGAGCGTGGAATTAATGTGTAGTTAATGCTTGTGAGAGAAGCAGCATGGGATTAATGTTCCTTATAGAAGGAGCATGCAGCCTGCTCCATGTCTGGTACTCTCAACTCACTTACTCATTTATTTTTCACAACCACCCGAGGAAGTATATGTTAAGAGCCACTTTTACAGAGGAAGCTGAGGCGCCACAGTCTCTTCCTGCTTTAACCTGACCTCATTCTATTCTTTTCAAAACTTGAGAGCTTACATCTTTACCTTTACCAAAGAATCATCGGATAATTTGTTGTCACTTTTGCCAAGAAAGCAGTATAATGCTACCCCCACTACCCACAAGCAACTGGGGAGAGCTCACTCTTGTTTATCTTTTTGGACAGGGAGGAATGCCTGCTGTTTCCTTTAATGATCCCTGCATCTCAGTCCCAAAGCACCTCAACTGTATATTCCATGGTAGAGCAAATTCAACAAAATGTATCCAATGACTGTGTTGCCAAGACTATCCTGTAGTGCTGTGGGAATACAGAGGTAAAAAGATAAAGAACCTGCCCTCAAGGAGCTTCTGTCCTACTGGGGGAAGTAGGACAAGGTTAGAAGCAGCTTTAACAGGAAATGCTATGTAATGAGTGCTACAAGAGGTATGATTAAAAAGAGTAGAGCTAGTGCGATCTTTCTAAAATTTCTGAAGAGTAGATGAACAGTGATCATTGGTGTTAATCAAGGAAAGTTAGATGCCATCATATCAGTGTCCATGGTTACCTGTTTCCTTTAGGGAGGTCTGCCATCAGCCAGTGAGAGGTCAGGCACTGCCAGAGCACTGAGCAGGCTGCATGCCAGAGGTTGGTTTCAAATGTTTAGAAATTTCAGGGCTGTACATCCTCATGCTGTCTGTAGTCTCCATTTCTGCCACTATACAAGCAAAAATAAAGGCTGTTCCTTCTGCAGTGTTAAACACACTTGTTTTTTTGACTTTACAAATAAATTAGTACAATAGCATAGCCAGTTTACAAAGTGAGATTGTCCACTTGAACTCACAAAGGAAACCACATCCTCTTCTCTAAGCTCAGTCAGCTTCAGCATTATTACTTCAGACTTCATAGAGGGGTAAAATGCTGACAGACTGGGAGGGGATATCCCTCAGAGCCTTTAAGAGGAACACGCAAACATGACACTTCTCTCATTTTCTCTTAAAACCCAGTAAATGAGTAAGGACGAGTCAACATTGACAGATTCAAAAGAGTTGTGCAAGCTGCCCCAAAGTTCCCTGAGCAGGTGGGTGGTGCGCATTGTATCCGTTCGTGCATTTTTTCCCTTGTGTGATCAGATGATCATTCCACCTTCTGTACTCTCTCAGCTTTACTTTGGCACAT